AACCAAAAAGTTTACTTTATTGTCTCCAACTCAGCATCATTTGGGAATATCAGTGTTGTCCTTGAGGAGTACTTGATGTCCGCCTTAAAGAATTATTCCTGGCCTGGAGTCTTTCTCACTGTCGCTCACATGACCCTCGCTGCCCCAAGAAGATGCTCATGACCTGTTCGTCACACTGCTCTGCTTTCCCATCAGACACAGGATGTGTGTGTCAACAGAGGAGGACTGCATGCTGAGACTTCCTGAATATTGCAAAACCAAACAGATGTTGCATTTGCATTGTGATACATTACATATCATCAGCTTTGGAGTAGAAAAAAATAAAAATAATAACATTTCTTGGTTGGTTTTACACACACGCTTTAATTAACACTGTACATCACCGAAAACATTTAAGATGTCTGCAGCGGAATGCAGCCTCTTCCATTCCCACAGCGCCAGATAATCATGCCTTTGAAACAGCACTTTCACATTATACCAGCACTTGGCCTGAAGTACTTCTCCATGGACTGATCTATAATCTGCTACTTAAGCATAAATACACCGCAGGGTGAAGGCACACGCTCGCACTCATGAAGTTGAAACAGGAAGATGCTGCACATCAGAACTTGTGATGTCAGCACATGAGATGAGCTTTAATGAGCACTGTATGTTGGGGAGTCACACCAGTGTCAGCTTATTTATGCATTACAACAAAGTGGAGCCCAGGTCCCTGATCAATGTTAAGTAGTTCTTCATCTTAATTAATAATCTGCTCCATTACTTAAATGACACCGCAGGATCTTCTGAGTAATGGCACCATCTGTAATCAATAGAGAACCCACTCCTGCTATATGTGTGGATGATTTAACGTCCAGCGTATTTACAGTAGCCTTTTGTAGTGCTTACTAAGTGCAGGCAGCAATTAATAAAGCAGTTTATGAAGCAGCGAGAGCTGGAAGGAGGCAGGCTAATTTCATTATCTAAACACAGAGGTCCTTGTGTAAACCAACAATGCCTTAAGACTACATGCTAAATTATGATGATTATGTTGGATTAGATATTTAACAGACATTAATCTTGACAGGCTGAGCTCTGTCCTTCTCTTACAGATGTATAAAGCTTTGCTCCTACCTCGTCCTGCTGTTGGTCGCACTGCTTGGTGTCCTAACCTCAGTCTGGGGCTCTGCGGAAAGTAACACAGTCAACCTTTTCAGTACTCAAAGCATGAATAAACTATTACGCTGAACACAGGCCTGGCACTGTTTTTACTTTACATAGCAAAAATAAAACCCAGCAGGTCTGGGAAAAATAACTTAGCTTGACTTTTTTTTTTTCTTCTCACCACAGCTGAAGCGTATTTCTTCTCACAATCATTTCAGTTACAACTGACTCAGACCACTTGCAGCATCCTCTAATTACAAATCAGCGTATCCGCTCGTTCAGCCGTAATGACACATATCACTAGTGGAAATCACATAAAACTTAGAAAGAAAAACATTTGGACTGCATCCAAAAATGCAGTGGATGCAGTGAAGTCATCACTGTGGTGAACAGAGAGCCATTTGTGGGTTGGGTTTGTGTCAGGCTGTGACTAACAGTGATTCAGGGAGGTGCGTTTAATGATTCAGAGGTGAGTTATGAGAACTGCACCTCCCTTCAGGGTTTTTTTTTTACTTCACAATTTTTCAACGTCTAGAGACCCATCTCTATTGTGCACATTGAAACTTTTGCACACTTGCAGGTACAACTGAATTAAGTTTTTATACCATTTTCCCAAAATTGACTTGACTGGCCCTAATAGCTGTAGTGGTTTGTGGAGTATGCATGCCAGTTAAATGATACTATGTGTTGAAACTGGAGAAGCACAAATGACATGGTATTCACATCACAGCAATGTGTGTGGAATGGACTACAGGGTGCAGTACAGTAGGAAGTTATTGCTTCCAGTATGTTGATTTTACAGTGTAATTGTGGTTTAAACATTAGCCCCTTGAGGCTGTATTGGCACTGTTGCTTCATTTTAATCAAAGAATACTAATTATCTCTCAGTAGTAGTTAGGTGACAATGCAAAAAAAAAAGAAGTTACCACACTCACAGTCATTACTGATTTAAAAGTGCTGCGTTCAGGCAGAAAGATGGCTCTATCTGCACAGGCTTTTGATTCCAGCAAATGAGAGGTCTGCACCGAGTGGCTCCAGTCTAAAGAGGAGAGTCCTCCCTCTTACCTAGTGCAGACAGGCACGAGGCTACTGCTGAGCTGGCACCAGAACAAAGCCCTCTAACAGCTGCTTGATAATGTGCAACCATTAATTACATTCTGATGCCTCAAGTCTGGCCTGTGTCGCTGAGTGGAGAACCCTCGCCTTGCTGAGCATGGAGCAATTATGTAAGAATGCGTTGCACAATGTTAACCAGACACAACACTGTATGTCTTCATAATGATGCTCTCTCGCACTTATACATATTCACACCCTGGGTCTCCTTTAGGACATGAATTTAGATTTAGCGAGTCGAACTGAATTTTTAAGTGGCTGGTTGTGTTAAGTTATTCAGCTAATTGTGTTTCCTTTATTCTGTCAGAAATAATAGCAAAAAGTAGCTTTGGATTTGAAAGCAACAGGATAATGTTTCAGCAAAGATTCCACTCTGTCAGTTTTGCATTTGAATTGCATTATTAATAGGGTCGGTGAAGCATATTGTGATATTTAGTGAATCCAAGACAAGTCAGTGCCTGACAAAGGACTTAATGGCTCTAGATCTGTTTGGCTTGTTCCCCATTTATTTTCATTTTCTATTACTCAACTCGATGCTCTTAAGAAAAGCTCGCACACAGCACACATGCATGTCCTGAACTAGCACTACCTCTTGCAGAAAGACAAACATAGTTTACCACTTTCATCGAGGCTCCCACTTTAGTTAAATGGTACGAGGCTGTTTGAGTGCGGATGATAAGCTATAGCTCAGCGAAGCATCACTCACCCTGGCAACTGTGGGCTGCAGTTGAGAAATGTCTGCGCCTGCCAAAGGAAGAGTTATATGACCCACAGTGCTGGACTTTCTGTTTTGTCAATACTGTCAGACCTTGGAAACAGAACTCCATGCAGACTTGCAGTATGACAGCGGTGAAGTTCTCCATCAGCCCTGCAGCTCAAGATGCAAAAGCCAGGTAAATGGAAGCTGAACTGAAACAAGTTTCTTGACTTTTTCTGGAAACACTTTTACAATAATAATTTTGACTGATATGATTAACAGTCTGAAGTGCTGTGTGTCATATTTCAGGTTAGCATATGATTTAAAGAGTCAGGAATAGATAGAAAAGGTGCTTCTGGGTTTCATTTCTCTTTTCTGAATGCTGTGAATGGTAAGACACAGGCCCGCAGCAAAGACATTGACGTTCAGTCACCACCTCATTTTCAGGTCCCACGGGTATACAAGCATATACAGGTAGATATCAGGCTCTAATCCAATCGTTTCCACCCTGAAGGATCTCATTCATAGAAATTCAGAAAAGGATTAAACAGTGATTAAAAAGCCGGTGCACAGGCGGGTAAGATACTTATTTCCTTACAAAACAAAAACAGTTTTATCGGTTCAAAAAAGTCTACATTTTTAAACACGATCAGAAGGTTGGGGAATTGACTGTATAATGCTGTGCATTCTGAAACACAGGTTATGTATGTACTCAGATCAATATGAGGTCAATGAAAAGGGCACATGAAGCTCAGGTTTTTTGAATAACACTGTGTTCTGTCTTCTTGTGGACCATTGTCCTCCTACCTGAGGGAAAACAAGCCGTTCTTTTGTACGTCACGTTACTAGAAAGCAGTGTCACTGTGCCCTAGGTAAGTAGAATACAAAGAGCTCAGTGTTTGACATATGACCAGGCCAGGCATCAGTGCCTGCTTAGATTTAGAGTGACTCTCCAAGTAGATGACCTGGCAGTTGGTAGATATGGTCACTTCCCACCATCACCAGCTCACTCACTCAAAACCACTGGTCTACCATGTGTCCAGAAAACAATGCCACACAATAACCTCAGGCCCGGCACAGCGGTGTTGGATGACTAGTCTTTGTATGCTGTGAAAGGCTGATGCTGCAGTTTCACTGCACAATGACAGAAGGCGGAGAGCAGGAACCTAAAGGTAGCGTTAAAAGTGTGGGTGCTCTAATACACTGTGAATGTGTTGTGCGTGTGTGTATGCCAGTCTGTGCCCCTCAAGCAAGACTGGATCAAAGCAGGGAACTTCCCTAGGACAGCAGAAAAACTCCAGGCTGACTGTGTATCATCTGGTTTGTGCCAGCTTAGCTGATCATGTACCACTAAAGCACAACACCAACTGGCATGATAAAAGCCTCGAGGCTGCTCCTGCAATTAGACCTGCACTCCAAAGAAAATAGTTTTGGGCTCAACAAAATTAATGCAACAATTTGCATCAATCTTTCTGAGTTATGAAATCTTCTAATGAAATTATGTTCATCCAACAAGTAACACTGAGCTGGGGGAATCAGCTTCTCCTCCACAATCAAAGGTATTTTTAACCACCGGTCTTAGGCGTCTGAAATTGTTCAGACGTGTTATGACACGTGAGGGACTTGAAACTCAAGCAGAATAAAAATTAAGTTATCAAGCTAATTTCATTAAGTTACCTCAACTCGAATTTAGTCTTAAATCGAGTCATGCAGAAATTTGCATTTAAATTACACATAATATTAAGTTGATGCAATTACCAACAATGTCAACTCAACACTTAAAAGGTTTATATACAAATTACCAAATTAGATTTTTTTAAGTGGTGAGAATAGGTCCTCAGAATTACTTTTCAGACTTGAAGAGGGATTCTTTGTTGAAATCTAGTTTTTCATTGAACAATTGTATCAGGCACACAGGGGCCCAGCAGATCAATAGTGCCGTGGGGGCAGGTTAATCCATCCCTGCCCCCATGTTGGATGTGACTCCACAGTAAAGCAAAAGACACAACACACAGGCGCAATTAAACAATGGGGAGTTTTGGGAGCCTTTCTACGGCGTTGTCGCACAGATAAATGTGTGTCCATTAAACGTGTGTCATGCCTGTGTACCTGCCCCCCCCCCCAGACATCCGCCGTTGCCAAGGTTTCCGTGTACGCGCTGCCTGCGAGAGCGGAGCCGCGCGATTGTCATACAGTACTGCCAGACATGGCGGCGGATCTACAACCCGAGTGGATTTCTTGTCTCCCGTCTTCCTGGAGTTATGGGGTTACTCGGGATGGACGCGTCTTCTTCTCTAAGTAAATATCTCTTCAGGGAAAACGTCTCAAGTCATTTTGCCCGTTTTTCTCTTTCCCAGCGCTCCACTTCGAGCACCGTTTTAAAAATGAATGCATTTCCCTCTCTTCTCAACAGCGAAGAAGCCAAGAGTACAACCTGGCTGCATCCAGTAAGTGGCGAGGCAGTTATAACCGGGCACAGGAAAACTCCAGGTAGGCTCACCGTGTCACCCAAGTGTCCGCGTTGTGTGTTTGTGGTGTTGTGTGTTATTGTTGTTGTGTTGTTGTTGTTGTCCGGAGCGGCTGTGACATCCACGCTGTGAATGCGTGAGTGGGCTTTGGGCGCTCCGTGCTGTGGAAAAGTGAGCCCTCTCGTGCCCACCTCTGTCCGGCTCGTGCCACCTCCTGCTCAGGTCGGTGGTCGGTCGGTGGAGTGGAAAGCCAGCGGTACCGGAGAACTTGTCAAACGAGCGCGTACATGAACGCTGTAACAGTTCATTGTGCCTTGAATAAGCTAACAGCTTCTGCGGACTGTGTGGCAGGTCGGTCAAACCCACTCATGTTTTGTTTACCAGCCAGGAGACATATACCTGAGACAGGTAAACAGCAGCTGCTACAGAGGCTACCAAAGCGGTGCGTTTACAACATCAGCCTCCTCGACTCTGTCCCCGCAAAAAATATGAGCAAACCAACCTGGGCACAGCGTGTTACATGATAAAATGAGCTGGTTGTAGTGCACTGTGCTGGTGAAGTGATATACAGCAGCAGCAGCCTCCTCGGTAACTTCCAGCATCAGTGTTATTGAGTGTCTACTTCATCTCAACAGGGCTGCAACTATCGGCTATTATAAATGTGGATTCATTTACACATTCTTTTCATAGTAATTTTATTCTATAAATTGTTAAAACTGAAAAAAAGGCTATTTGAATTTGTCAGCACACAAAGAAAAAATGTAAGTTTTCTGGCTCAGTAAATAATTCTTAGTTTAAAACAATGCCAAATACTCCCAAGTTCCAGCTTCTCTGTTGCAATGAAATGTTTTTATTTGTCTTATGTAACAGTATAATGTTTTTGAGGGGGGCTTAGACGGCTGGTGAGTCGAACTAAAGAATTTGAAAATGTCAAATTGAATTTTTCTGCTTTTCGTTTGTCTTTTTCCTGGCATTTTTCTGACATTTTATAGGCCAAATCACTCACTGATTGATCACAAAAGGAACTGACAGATTGACTGATGTTGAAAAAAAGCATTTGTTGTATTCCTAACTTCTTCTTATTCTGTAATCTTACAACCTTTAGTCCAAAAGATTGTTTTCCAAAATTGACAAACTTGAAAAAGCAGATTTTTCACATTTTTGCTTGAAAAATGATTGAAACTCCAAATAAATCCTGAAGATAGCTTCCAATATTTGTTATTTTTAATCAATGAACTGTTTGACCTTTGCATCTCAGTGTGTGAACTGACAGTTGGGAATGCACTGTTCAGGTAAATGAATGCACACAAGGTGTGTTTCTTCCACCAGTTTGTGTTCACATGTTTCTGTCCACATTTCCTTCTTTCACAGACCTACCCACTGGATGGGAAGAGGGATTTACTTTTGAAGGAGCACGGTGCTTTATCAAGTGAGTGTAACACCCCTCCTCCACAGGACACCCGCCCATCACAACCTTAGAACCGGCATAAATATCTAAACATATACCATATGCATTCAAAGCACTTCCCTACTGCATGCCAAGATAGCACTTTGATGACTGAGATTCTCTTATTTCCTGTTAAGTCAACTCAGATGTATACAATGCCCATTCAAATGCCTGCTGCTCCTGAAAACATTCTGTGTGGTAAAGTAAATATTGAAAGGTTGTAAATTGGGAACCTTTACTCCCTCTTGCCGTACTGTAGGAGCCTATCGCAAAAGTTAATGATTACACAAGGACGTTGTGCAAATACTAGACAGACATGGGCAGAGTGTGGTAGCTGTCTCCTTTTGAGCTGTTTTTATTTATTCAAACTTACCCTGCTCAAAGCTTAGCCTACTTGGAGAGTTGAGCCAAAGTATAATGTGTTCTCTTTTTCTGACAGTTATCCTCACTGTTGCGGTTTATATAGTCTGCTCACAGTTTAGAATGACACTTGTCTTAAGTAGATGCTGGAGAATATTTCAGAGATACAGGCCGGTCCATTGCATTAGAGGAATTTGAAAAGACTTCTTATTTAAAGTCTTGATGCTGTTAGTACATCATATCCCCAGTATGTTCATTTGTTGTGGCTGTGTGGGCTGAGGAAAAATATCCTCCATGTCCACTAAAACACGTTGTTCAGTTCATGCCCCTCTCCGTGCGAAGGACCAGGATCTGCATGAATTACATTAGAAGCTGGCTATATTACATAGTCTTTGAAATACACAGTATTTCATATTTCCTCCTCTCTGTCTTCCGTAGTGGCTCGATGCGTGCTGCTAATAAAAAGAGATCACAAGTGCTGTCATTGAGTCGGCACTGATTCATCATCTGTCCTCCAAATCCAAGGATATAAACGGAAATATTTTGTTATTTAGCGTGTCCAATTGAAATACTCCCTTCGCACAGCAGGTACAGATATTTTGTCGCTGAACTTTTCTGCCAAAATACAACAATGCGTCTGTATTACCGATGACATTGCGAATTTAGGATATTATGCCTTATTATCCTCGCTGAATCCCTTCTCCTTTGACTCGCTCATGAATTTGAGGAGCTTCATGTGGCAGGTTGCCAGGCAGTCAGACTGAAAGGCAGTAATTTTATATTCCACTATTTTATCACAGCTTCTCAGTGCAAGACAGACTTGGAGACCACATTCATTAGTGATCACTGTGATTCTGGCACAGTCCAATGACATGGTAATGTTCCTTTTAAAGCAAGTTACAAACTAATCACGTTGCCCCCCTACAAAGCGCGCAGACTGGATTCCTCAAGTGAAAACCCCTTGGTCCCATCCATTAACTGAAATTTAGGGAACTTTTATGTCTCGAGACAAACACTCTGAGAAAGACATCTTAATTTAATTTGTACAAGATTTATCTCACATACAAGATAAGCCTATTGCACACACAGTTTAACAGAGCCACAATAAAACAGTAAACAAACACATGTTGACAGCTTGTTTAACTGAGCCTCTTCTTAGCAAGTAAAAAAACTAAATCACACACAAATAGCACATTTTGTTGTTTTAACCTGTAACAGCAAGGCACGCAGTAATCAGAATCTAATGATGTGACCAAATCTGTGTGATGGAAAAACAATTTTTTTTTAGCAAAAAGCAATGCGGCACATCTTTTATCTCATTCAGTTGTGAAGCCGTTCAGTAGATCACCTTCCCCTCTCCCCCATTAAGTTGTCTCTCAGTTCTCCCTCTCATCTCTTTCCCCCTCTGTCTTCATTCTGCCCATGACTCATTAGTAATGCATGTCATTTACCTATAATGTCTGTGATTTATTTTTGAATAGCGCATAAAAGGAACTAACTGTGCGCTCTATATTTGAAATGAAAATTTATGTCGTATAGTCAATAATTAAATGTTACGTCTTGCTTTTAGAGGCCTACAAAAAATACTACCAGACATGCAGTCTTCTGTGTTCCTGCTTATACTGTAATGCAGACGAGCTGATGCATATTTTGTGGCTGAAATGCACATAATTAGCCTACATGCGACCAAGGCTTCCGCAGTCTGCCTTGTGTGGACACATTTTCCCAGCCTGTTTTCCGGGACTGGCTTGGTTGTTTTTAGTTGCCTTTACTTAGCGAGAGTTTTTAAATTCAAGTCATGTGGTCACAACTCTTGAGTGTCATAACGATGGCTGTATGCACTGATTAACTTGTGTGGTCAATTTAAAGCACAAGATCAGTTTGTCGGTCATGTAGCGATGAATTTATCTTTCAGATGTGCCTCAGCTTTGAGTAATTGGACTGTGTAAAACCACCCCTGTTAATTTCGTTGTGACTCATTGTTTTGACATCGAGATTTGTTGACAGGTTTATGTGATAACTGCTTTGGACGGTCCTTGGGACATTTGGAGGCTTTATGTGAAGCTGCCAATAAAAGCCTCAGAAAACTCTCCAAGACCATTCGCTTTTTGACAACTGGATAAGCCCGTGCCATATGCTTTGCAGTAGGTTATTATTACTTTGTCATCAATGTAATATTGTTGCAAGTTTAGGGCTATAGTTTTGCTGTTTTTATATAAACAAGGCATTATTGTAAAGACTTTAAACCCAAAAATCAGCTCACTTCCCTATAAAGTATGGGCGAGATCATTGATTCATCTCTGTGACTCCTTTTGCTCAGAAAAAAAACCAAAAAACACCCTGCAAAAGGGATCTGGCTTATTCACATGCTGGCTGTGCGGCTTGGCTGTTACCATCGGGTTACACAGTGTGAGCATCAAGGAGCAGATTGTGCTGACGCAGACTGTCCTCTGATGCGATGTGTTGGGAAGGATGAGTTGCAGGTTGTTGGTGTGATAGTGTGAACTGGAGGCCCGGGTTCATCCCAAGATTTGATTATTTTATGGCACTGTGAGTTTTGAATGAGTGAAGGTCAGTGGAGATGTTAATTGAATCAGTCATGGCTTACTGCTCTCCTCAGACAGCCCCCTGTTGTGCTTCTGGGTTATTTGTGGGTGGCCCAGTACAAACAAGGCATTTCAGTTTGGGCAGCTATTATGTTCTAACTGGCCAGAACTTTGCTACACCAACAGAGAGCGAGATCTGGAAAGGGTTTTAAATCTGCAAACTGTTAGCTTGTTAATTTTTCCTCACGGGGAGACAAAAGTCAGTGCATTGTGACTGTCTTGGTCCAAAACTGACAGGACGCCAAGCAGTGAAAATATGCCTGCTGTTTGTTAAGATGGCACAGTTAACAAATGTCTGATTGCTGCTGCCTAAATTCCCATGCAGTCAGAAACTTATCAGTGTCATCGTCCCGTCTTCTGTGCCTCATTGAGGAGAGAGCAGTTGGTCAACAGCACCCACCACAGTTTTTAGGCTCGCAGCTTTTGGCTCCCGTCGCAACTGCTGAACTTGGCGATATATCAAGAGAACTCCATCTAGCCATTCTGCTGCTTTGCTCCTCTAACAATTGAAATAATAATCCACACACCAGAGTAACAGACACTTTCTACTTTCGATTTACTTGTCTGTACTCTGCTTTGAAAGTTGGGAGCTGGGACATTTATCTCTTATTGAACTACTCTTCTGTGCAGGGATATACAGCTAGGCTCTCCAGTGCTAAAGGTGTGCACTTTGCAAAGCGTGCGTGCAAAGAACTGTCCTCCTAGCAGACTACAACACAGAGAGCCAAGCAATTCCACGTTTCATGACACTCTCTCGCTCCCTCGTATCTGTCGGTAAATCCAATAGTCACCCAGAGTACAGTATCTGTTCAGCTTGTTTTTGTTTGTGACGTAAACAGTGTTTTGATGAGACTATTCCATCTGGCAGATTTGTGTTTTCTCCATTTTATCTCTGTAACACATAATCCTACATTTTAACTTCAGCCTCATTTCGAACAAGAATTAGAGACGTGATTTGGGCAATTTTGACCGTGATTTGTCGTAGTGTTAATCTGTCGCTGTCTGTTGAGGATTCTTGACCCGTGAAAACCTTTCAGAAGTGTGCATCAGAAGTTAATGAGGTGAAGTGAGCTTGACTGGTGCAGACGGCTTAGTATTGTAGTAGGAATGTGATGACCCGAATTATGAGTTTGTAGCCTCGTGGATGCAGGAAGTGTTTACAGCAATTATATTTCTGAATAGACAGGTGCAGACTCCTGCCAGTTCCCTCTCTTTGTTTGCTATTCTTGTCTCATTAATTCTGTCTGGCAAAGGAGGGGAAAAAACCTAACCGCTGAAGTCGGGGCTAATTGCTCTAGGTGAGATAGCTGTTATCTTGTTTTGAAGGCTAATGAGTGAATAATAAGCACAGCTGACCCTCACAGTGCTATACTGTAGGCCTGAAGTGTGAATGCTGCCCAGTTATTAATGTTTCATACGATGACATTTTATCAGTATTCTTTGAGGGCATTTTGCTGTTTCAAAAAATATACATATTGTGCTAATCTGCTTTGCAGGAACAGTTTTCATTAGGATATTCACTTCTACCACTGCATAATTCATCACTCAGAACAGAAGTAAGGATGTCAATTGAAATTTGGCCAATTATGACAAAAATCTCTCCAGTGGATCTCTATTTAGCTCCTGGCTCATTTTCTGCTTTGAAGGCCCACACACTCACTGACTTCACATACTGTATAAATGTAGGAGTATCAGGTTGCTTTCTGGTCATTATTCAGTTGTGGTAATTGTCACTTGCAGCTAAATAATTAAATACTCCTTTTTTTTAATGACCGTGTTTTTTAATTGATAACCCATAAGAGCATCCGCTTAATATAATAACATTGTGATGAAAACATCACAAAAGTGTTTCCTCTGACTAATATTTGTTGTGTTGATTTACATAAAGCCTTTTGATGAAAAGACAAAAGTTTGGCTCTACACAAAAAAGACACTGTGATTGATATTATGCAGAAATCAAAATGTTTTATTGTGTAAGTCAGATTAATAATTGTCTTGACAAGAATGAATGAATAG